ATGGATATTCCCTTTTTCAGGATTATGGGTGTGTTTTTAACTTTTAAAATGCAATTTTTGTAGGAGGCTATAATTCTGGTGTTGTTTTTATCGAAAAATGTTAATGTGGACGTACAATGGGCCCTTTTTGGTTAATGTGGAATATTTATGTCCTATCATCCTTTTGTAATTATTTCAAAACAGAGTACATATCATGTCCATTACATTTAGACCCCATTTTGTATAAATGAAAACGAATGAAATAGTATTTTTTGAAAAATAAATGATTGAAAATGAAGGAATTTTTTTATATTTACGTGTAATATTATTTTATAGAAGATTGTGTGGCTAAAACTATGAGAGAAAAAATAAAATATAATAGAATGGAAATTAATAAGGGCCAAACGGGGGCTTAAACTTTGTTTGTCTACCATTCTTTCACACTCTATCAAATTATTTTTTCTACAGTCATATATTCTTAATTAAAATAATATTACACATAAATAGAAAACTTTTCTTTCTTTTTTAACCACTTATTTTTTTTAAAAATACTATTCCCCCCATTTTCATTTTCAGGTATTGGGGATCAAACTGGGGATAAAAAACAAGTAAACAATTTTTTGTGAATTCTTTTTTAAAAAATAAATTTAAAAGTTGGCAGCTTGAGCCCGACTGAGCCCATGTTTTCTGGAGCCTAACGGGCGGGTTGAGCCCATTTTTTCTCCAAAGGCCCAGCTTCACTCGAATCCACAGAGAGAATAACAGCCACCCCGAGATACAGCAACTAGAATCCAGCATATATTATAAATAATTGCGCCCTCGAGGCATAGTCGAGTGGTGAAAAGGATAGGAGTAGGATTATTTCACGCCTTACTAACAGCTACAGAATGGGGGTTCGATTCCTGAAACATGGAATTGGACTCCTTGTGGGCGTAGTGTACAAGCAGCTCTTATTTTCTGGCCTGTTGGGGTACATCTCGTGATTTACCTTCCTCACAAAGCTCTAGGGAAGGCACGGTGAGAGCACTTAAAATTGGGGTTCAATTTTTTTTTTATAAAGAAATGCGAATTTATTTGTCAGAGGCCTTTCACATCACATTCCACAGCTGGTCGGGATAAATAAGAAAAAAGAAAAAAAAAATCCACTGCAAAGCCGCAAATCTGTGGTCCTCTTTTTTCCTTTCTCCTCTACCGTACGTAAATGAGGTGACGTGTACATCGATATCGTAGAAAAGTTGACAGTACTGATGTGACCGTTCGTTCATACGTCACCCATAATGTTATCTTTTGCACGTGCCCAATGTCGAGCACTTATTGTAGTAAAATCAACTCCCAATGCTTTCATAGAAGGCCCTTGACTAGTCTCAACAACTTCAAAAACATTAAAAGTATGTGCAACCGAATCAGCATCCACTTACCTAGCTCCAATGGGTCCATCTCTAGCAATTGAATACGATGGAACCACAGGTAATAGTGACAAAGCAGAATTACCAATATCCTTCAAACTCAAATGAGTAGTATTTTTCAATATAAACCCCCGAACAAAATCCTAAAAGTACAGTGCCGAACTGAATCTTCACTACGGTATTAAATCTATGCTGAATTTTTTCACAAATTCTATCCGACCTTACAAGATGTATAACTGGGGCCTCTTTTGTCCCTCCAATACAACACGAACGCCCTTCCGAACCCTCAGAACTCCACCTCATTCAAAGAACGTGTACCTAAGTGAATTAAGAGTGCTTAATGAAATGAGATTTTTCTTTAAGTCTGGAATATGTCGAACGTGATCAAGTGTTTTAAACGCTCTATCTGTAAATTTCAATCTGACTCTACTAATACCAACTACCCCACAATGTTAGTTGTTTACCCATGACAACGACACATTGCGTCATTGTTTCATATGTTTCAAACTAATTCCGATTGGGACACATATGGAACACACATTCCAATATCAATAGGTTGATTGTTTCGCTCCCGTATCTTCCAAAAGGAGAAAAGATCTTCAAATCCTCATTACTAATGAAATCCAAATGATCTTTAGACTGATCCGAAGGTCCTTTCTGTTTGCTTTCAATTCGCCTCTGACCATCAAATGAAATGTGAATAAGCCGTCCTCCTTTCTCAACATGCAAGTGCAATAAAAATTCCATAATCCAGGAAAATTATCATATCCATTTTGTATCATTTTGGCGGCATGACCGAGTGGTAAGGCGGAGGATTGCAATGCCAATAGTTAGGATTCATTAAAAAAATATAGAATCCACTCATGGGGGGAGAAGTCCTTGTCGTATCAGGCACTAGTCTTTTTATCCAAAATTCACTCCTCGTTAGATTTGGATTCCATGTAAAAAATCGTCAAAACATCTCCATCACTCACGTAGTTCTCGGCTATGTTGGTCTTGTTTGAAGTATTTGATTGCTTCCCATGATTTGCAATCAAATTACTTTTATTTTGCAATTTGTCTCAATCGCTCTTAATTTGTCATTTCTTCTTACATAATAGCAAACCTAATTACTGAAAGTTGACCTCGATTTACCCTTTATTCGATCACCATGAACAATAGGTTTTCCCCATCTCTGGCCTTAGATCCAACCGATGCTCCATCTTCTCTTTTCAAAACATGGTATTTTACGTATCTTCAATGGTGAGAGACTATAGATCGTGTCTCTAAACGAAGTGAGCAGCTAACACAAAAGGATTAAAGCCAAGTACAATCTCTTTGAATACAACCAGATAATCTTTTAAAGATGCACTTTCTGCCATACAATGAGAATACAACCTCTGCTTCAGATGTAATTTGCTTGTCATACTTTTATTCATGCACAATTGTTCCAACTTCAACAACAGTGTAATTGTTGTTTTCTTTTTCAAAACGTCCTGAAAAATGTTGTAAAAGAGGTGGAGATTGATCCATGAAAGTACCTTTCGATCCTTCTGCTGTTTCTTCTCCGTCGTCTAAGTTGTGGGCATTTTGTCAAATCTCAACAATGCATCATTCGAATTCATCTGCGCGAGTACAACTCGTATCCTCACTTGTCACAACGAGGATCTTGTATTGCGATCTACGAGTGAAATTTCGTACTTCATGGTTGCCGTAAAAAATAAAAACCTCAAACAAATCGCAACTAATAGTTCTGATACCACTTATTGGGAAATAAAACAGATGGAGGTAATAGATATGACACAATATGAAGTATATGATTACAAACAAATAATAAGATAAAAGGCAAAGAATTAATTGATAGAGAAATGAAATATTTTATTCAATTAACGAATATGGAGAAACCAAATACAATAATTGTGCCTACACAATTATTTTATATTTCAGTAATACAAAACTTGTGAAAGAGTCTAATATTTATAGGGGTGAATGCCAATTCCTAAAAATGCCACAAAAATGGAAACAAGATAAAAAATAATGTGGAATAAAGAAAATAATATTTTTCCAATAAAAGAGCGTGTAATAAAGGAAACAATATTTCCCAAAAAAAACCCAACTTAATTTAGGTAAAAAAATCCAACAAAAAGGTGTTGATCGTAGGAAGAATAATTAAGAGATGGCAGATTAATATACAAATGTTGGCCCAAGATTTAATGGTTCAAGTTGGATTCTACTTATAAACTGGAATTTGTTTCTTGGTATAAAGCAAAAATGGAATGACTTCTTAGAAAGTTCTCAGTTTTTATTTCATATATAGGATGCTGATCAATTGGCTGGCATTAACATAGATAGTTTTTTACTACTATCTTTTATCTTTTTCTATTTTTTCGGGTGCATTGTTTCCTAATCACATGAAATATTACAAACTGGGCAGTACTTCCATGACACTTTGTGTTCGATTTTTGTATGAAGTCAATTGTGATACATGTATGAGGAATAGCAGATACGTTCCATAATCTGCAAAACTGATACTGCTTAAAAAAAATGTAATGAAGAATTCTATACATGTCAAATGCTATGTGCATGAAATTAGGCCCGCTTGAGCCCCCATTTTTTGAAATGAAAATAGATGGAATAGTATTTTTTTGAAAAATGAGTGATTGAAAAAGAAGGAAAAGTTTTCGATTTACGTGTAATATTATTTTATGGAAGATTGTGTGGTTGAAAATAAGAGAGAGAAAAATGAAATGTAATTTAATAGGGCCAAATGGGGGGCTAGGTTTATGATATTTGAGATTCTGAAGATTTCCTTTTTAATTTTTGTCTATGTATGCATATGTTATGAATTTAGGGAAATGTTGGGTGTACAGGGGGTTTTGTTTCATAGAACCCCTACCAATACTCACAACAATGGGTCCCACACAGGACCCACTTGTATTAATAAAAAAAAAAAAAAAAAACCCACCCACCTACCCACCCCGATGTATGTGAGTGTTCAGTACGGTTTTGTGAATTCATACCTGTACATGTATCACAACCCATGAATGTATAATGTTGAATGGTGGTCATTTATTTCATAATCTAAAAACATTTGTTAATTGTTATCGAAGCTTTTGTTTGGTTTAAATGATTGCTGCTATATATTTAGTGGGTGGACACTCACTGACATTCTGTTTATGACATGCAAAATGTAGTTCCTGGTTTTAACATTTATGCAGTCTTATGAGTAGGTAGTGGGGTTTCACCTTCTCTATAATAAGTGGTTAATCTTATATTTCACAGTCGGAATTTCTTCCCTCCCCTTGAGGATTTTTTTTGGGGGGGGGGGGGGGGGGGGGGGGGGGGGGGGGGGGGGGGGGG